AGAGAGAGAGAGAGAGAGAGAGAGAGAGAGAGAGAGAGAGAGAGAGCGAGAGAGCGAACGAGCGAGAGAGAAACACTGAACAAACACACTCAGATATAACAGAAAATAAGTTTCTACCACAAACAACAGCAGCAGCTCAAGAAACCGATCCATACTCACAGCTTCTGTCGTATTCCTCTTGCCTTTCTTCAGTTTTTCTCTCAAAGTGTCTGTAAGAAAAGAAAGAGGATGAACTGTATCAAATCTGTCTTTTGATCGGCGTCATCCTTTCATTAGTAGATCTAGTTCAAACGCTGTAAACACACACCTGCTTTTTTGAGCACCTCTTCATCACCTGACGAGAACTCTGCTTCATCCACCTCATCATCATCATCTCCGCCTGATTCTTCATCGTTGTCATTTTCATCATCTTCTTTGTCATCCTCTTCATCATCATCATCTTTTTCCGGTTTAGAGGCCGAAGCTTCGGTTTTCTTGCTTTCTTTTTGAGTTTTCTCCTGCAAAAGCACACAAATATTTTTTTGTCACACACAACCATACACATAAAATAAAAATTAACATAGGAATAACACAGAATAAAATATTTTACAAGATATCTGGTGGTCGAAACTTCAGAATAATTTAGTTGTTTCTGAAAGAAGTCTCTTCTGCTCACCAAGGCTGCATTTATTTGATCAGAAACACGGTAAATACAGTAATATTGTGAAATATTTTTACAATGCAAGATAGCTGTTTTCTATGTGAATATCTGTTCAAATCTAATTTATTCCTGTGATGCAAAGCTGTATTTTCAGCATCATTACTCCATTCTTCAGTGTCACATGATCCTTCAGAAGAGACTTTCTCATTACAAACATTACAAATCTTCCGCTCACCGAGGCCGCATTTGATCAGAAACACAGTATAAACACAGTAATATTGTGAGATATTATTACAATGCAGAATGACTGTTTTCCATTTGAATGCTGCACACATCGTCGTACCTCAATTTTGCGCTTCTTCCGCACTTTCTCGATCTTTTCGTCCAGAGTAGTGGGCGCTTTCTGGAAAGGCAAAAGGAGGGATGAAGATGATTCTAACATGAGCAACACGTAACAGCCCACTAGAGGCCCAGAGCTCTGCCGTGAGAACCCCTCACCCTCTTCTTGAGCTGCGCCATGACGTCTGCCGCGACCCAGTCCTCGCTGTACAGACCGTCTCGCTCGCCGAACTCAAAGCCAGAGCTGAAGTCTCCAGCGCCGCGGCCCTTCAGAGCGCGCTTCTCCTTCCTCAACACGACGGGCTGCTCCTGATGAAACACACCAGCATCACCTCATTATAACAGCCTTACCACGGAGCAGTCACGGCATCAGATGGTAATACCGCGCTACTCCAAAATACACCATTCATGTGCTATGGTATTTACATGTTCAGCATACTACAGTACTACCATGTTTTTTTAAACATAGCAGTATAATAGTAGTTTTTGGTACATGAATGGTACATTTACAAGGCACTTATACTACGGTATTACCAATGTAAAGTCCAAATTCTACATGGTATGTCAAAAAAAAAACTTGTTTACACCATGGAAGTGTGTGGTAAAAACATGGTATTACTG